TGTCTAAAGAACGGAAATAGTTGTTCTGCAGAGATATTCCTATAACAATATTTACCAGATTCTGAGAGCTAAGCAGGAAGATCATATGCCCTGATTTTTTTTAAAAAAATAAATTATACAGCTACAAACATTAAATATTCAAACAGCAGCAGTTATACATTTTATAGCTCATTCTGTGTTTCAGAATTCTAGGCAAACACCGATAGTTTTCAAGTAATCCTGTGCTTAGTATTCAGATGGCTTAGTGGTTAAGGTTGCTTCAACCAGATGTGGTTCTGCTATTGAGAACCCTAAATAAGAAAAAATGCTGAGATTTGCAAGTAAGATAAAGCTTATTTTAAGAATACATTTGAATTGGGGAATACCTGGTGGGAATGGGGAAAGGGCTGTGAGGACCTAAGGGGCAGAAAGCAGAGGGTGACTAAGGGTGCAGGGAGGCCTTGGGAGGGCCAGGGCTGGCAGGCCTGTGCCTATGCTAGGTATCCCCCACACACCTCTGAGTCATGCCATGTTCCACAGTAATCTGATGTACACATTTGTTTAACAATTGCTAGGAGCAGGAATGGGAGAATTGTTAGGTGAAACAATTTAGCAGTTGTTGCAACATACAATTTCAAGGGCATGTTCTACTATGATCATATCTCGAGGACTACCTGTAAATAATTTGTAGAGCACATTTTTTAAAAAATGATTTTACATCTTTTCTTTTCTCATGTCTCTAAAAAATAATGATAGACAGGTCAATATGTAACAAGGGGTGCATGGCATTTGTATTCATATATCTATTCTATACAATCATTTCTGACTAATTCTTTATTTCAGTGTGATCACTGTCAGCCACTGTATAATGACAAGCCATTCCATCCAGGAGATCAAGTTCATGCTTATAATTGCAAACCTTGTCAATGTTTTAACCATGCTGTAAGCTGTCATTACAACAGAACAATAGATTACTTTCCTAACGAATATTATAGAGGTGGTGGTGGAGTCTGCGATAATTGTCAACATAACACCTCAGGTAATTATCACAACCAAATGAAGGCACTTATATTTGCAGGGGCATATGCAGAAGCTTTGTGGTTGGTTCCTCTAAAGTATCATTAATTAGAGGTGGATATTTAAAATGTAGAACTCTATGAGGTAAATTATTTCCACCCAACCCAACCTTTTATTGTATAAATCCATGCATTACAGAAAGAAGTAAAAAATTATGCACTAAAAAGTTATAAGTCTGTTGGAAATATCTAGACACAAAATAAGGTGGAGCCTGTATCACTAAGTCTTATACCTGATTTAGATGCATGTGTGTTATTTGTAATGTTTATATTCACCATTGAAAGATCAATGTATTTGTCACATTATACAATACATAATATATGTAAAAAAATGTTTTGTATAGACAAGATCCCAAATTTGTCCAGCACTGAACTGATTGAAATTTAAAGAATTCCTTCAGAGAAAACATCATAAATGGAAAACAAGTAATGAAGTATAATTTAATTTAATAATTTAAATAAGTCATAATACTGTATGATGGTTGTCAAGGAAATAAAGAACATGGAGTTGCTATCAGAAGTCATCACAACATGACTTTGCTTTGAATCAGGAGACACCACTTTAAAGAAGGCACGCTCATTCCAATAAAGGGGAAAGAATAATATGTTGTGGTATTTGTGATTTCCCACAAATTCTCCTTTTAATAGGACCTTGTTGCTCTGATTGTTCAGATGATATGTGTTCAAAAAATACAAAACCTAATTAAATTATAATGGGATAACTAGGTGAGATTAGACAGTAATTTAGGGATATATTGCACTTCTGTGTCACTTAAAAATAAATACTATTCTTTTTAATCTCAGTGTACTATGAGGAAAAAATCCTATGTGTAACTCAGAACAATAGATACTCTCCAGCAGTATACATTCTGCTAGAACAAACTAATTTGTAAAGCAGTTTTGTTGGCTTTAGTGTGTTCTGACCTGCTGTTCTTCATGTGAAGGGATCCTTGAATTTGCAGAAGTGGCTCTGATCCTATGAATTATTTTAAGGACAGGACAACACCAGTAGAATTCTCTAATTTCCTATAATTGGATTCTGATTTTGTTTCATGCTGAACATTTATAAAACACGAAAACATGTCCTTGCTTAAATCATCATTTTTGCACTATGGTATTTTTTAGAACTTTCAATATTCTTGGCTTTTGTTCCTAGGAGCTAAGTTTATGAATAATTTCCAATTTTAAAAAATAGGTATCAAACAGCCTAGTTTCATAGGAGTGTCATGTTATGTAACAGATGGAAGTTTAATGGAGTAAAACACAGTTTGTAACAGGTTCATTGTTTCATATGCTTTGGATCACTAAATTGGCAGGTAGAGATGAAAGGTGCATTAAAATGGACGTCCTGAAAATTACATAATTCTCTCAAGGGAATTGTATTTAATTTTGAATTATACAGCTAATTTTCATGAATTGGAAGCTACATTGCGTAACCTTTTCTTTTTTGCAGGAAGAAATTGTGAGTTGTGTAATGATTTCTTCTATCGGCATATAGATGCGGATCTCTCAGCTTTGGATGTTTGTAAACCCTGTGAATGTTACTCAGCAGGCACCAAAAATGGTAGTTGTTTTTGCAATAAGGTAAGTAGCTTTGTCCTCAAGTTAACTTTAAAGTGGCTGCCATTGACACTAATTCCCATTATCAAGATTGGGAAAAAAATGAAGAGGGGTTCACCAAGTTCTTGGGAATTTCTTTTACTATTTTAGATTTCAATATTTCTGCTTTGCCAAATTTTTAAAGGTGAAAATGGAATAACAGTATTCAAAGAATTTATGAACCATGTTAGAGATACTATGATAATTGTAGTCTTCATCTCAACCTTTAGTGAAATATGGAACTTTCTTGTAAGAAGGGATGTAAAGGTGGTTATATAAATACCAGTTTAGCCCTGAGAAAGGAAGGGAGGGACAGACAGAGACAGACAAACAGACAGACAGAGAAATAGACTCTATCAGGTTGTCAACATTCTATATTATAACTTGAAGTAATAGAGTTCTGAAAATCCTAGTGGAGTTACTTTCCTGACTTACCCTACCTAAAAGGACTGATACCCTGCCAAGACAAATAGGTTGCCTGAAAACATGTTGCCCTTAGTAAGTCCTACTGTTTTCAGAGAAGCTCCTACCTGCATAAGTGTTTACAAGATTGCACTCAAATATTATCTATAAAAGAATGAAACAGATGATCCACTCCCACTTTCCTTAGTTCATCCCATGGATATAGGAAAACTGATTGTCAGATTCCTTTTGAGAAAAGAATGTACAGTTCAGGAAAGACTGTTTTTGATGAACCATAAATATTGGGCTGTATATTAGAAAAGGGGTTGTTGATGGAATACATTAAAAATCAGTACCTGAAAAAAAGTTAGGAAACCGCATTTATTTTGAGAAGGAAAATTGCTGGCATCCTATGTTGCTCATTGTGTATGAACTTTTCTAATAGAAAGTTACCTTATACTGTCAGTTCATCAGTGACTTTATCTCATAGTTTTTATAATTTGGCTTTGAAATATATTAAGAAAGGGAAAAAAACCTGTTTCTTCCTATATATTATTTTATTTACCATAATTAAAAAGACTAATTTCATATAAAAAAGTTACCAATGACTTTAAACTCTTGATTTTCATTTGCAGGTAAGCAACATAATATATTGATCAACCCATCTCTTTCAAAGGGCAAGACAGCTATATGGAAAGTTGGTTGAAAATTGGTTCCTTAACACATTTTGGTACACCAGGGCAGTGATGAAAAATAACTTGCCTTGGAATATTCTGATATATTCCTTTTTCTTTCGCATTATGTATGTTTTTCTATTCACTGAGAACGGTCTTTAACTGGTATCTTTGATTGTTCAAAAAACCATGAAAATAGAAGTTTTGATATAGCAATAGTACTTATATACCACTTCACAGAGCTTTACAATCTGGGTCCTCATTTTACCAACCTTGGAAGGATGAAGCCTGGTGAGATTTGAACTGCCAAATTGCAAGCAGCCGGCAGACAGCAGAAGTAACCTGCAATACTGCATTCTAACCACCACGCCACCAGGGCTCATTTATCCATGAAAAGCTCATTGCTTTTACAATCCTTTATCCTAAGCCAGCAATGTGAAATACAACATTGCTGACATTAACCTTAAGTAATGAGTCTGATTTTGTGTTCCTCATAAAGATGTCTGTTAGGCTAAGATCATAAAATCTTTCCAGAAGCAATTGAATATCACAGGATGTACAAAAATTAAATAGATGGGAAATAAATCCTTGCACTCATGCCATGGTGTCTTCCCATTTGGATGACTGAAATGCACTTATAAGGGGCTGTCTTTGAAGGCCACATGGAAACTTCAATTAGTCAGACACACACAGTGATGAGTACCCCTAGGTTTATCCATATAACACCTCTCTTGTGTCAGCTGCACTGCCTTCCTTTTTTTTTTCCAATTCAAGGTGGTGTTTATCACCTTTAACCATGATATGGCATACAGCCAGATTTGTCTTCAGGACTGTCTTTAGCTAAAGTCATCTCCTCATTCTACCAGGTTAGATAGGCTGAGCATGCTCCTAGTCCCTTCCCTTAAATACTGCCACCTTATTAAGAATGCCTTTCTGTGGAAGCCCTGTCCTAGGGAATGCTCTTCCTCCTGAAGTTCAGCAGGCTTCTATCCTCCTAGCCTTCCATGAAAGCACTGGAGATCTGGCTTATCCCTCTAGGATGAGATGATTGCATGTGGGAAGCTTGATTGGGCACTAGGGTTTTGCTTTTAATGTTTAGGGTTTCAATCAAATTTATATATATTTTTATGGGAGACACCCAGAATGTGACATAAAATGGGTGACTATATAAATGTTTTAAATAAATAAAGCCAATGCTACTTCTGAAATTGCTGATTATTCCACATTGCTAATAGCTGACTGTTAAGTTGTTCTAATTGCAGGTAATACACGGTTTTCTTCTTTTTCTTTTGTTTAATTTTAAAACTGAAGCTCAGCAAGAGTGAGAAATTAGGTGAAACACCAAGATGATATAAAAAAGAAAATAAGGAAAAATGGGCTGGTCTGTACAGCTCAATAAGGCATAAATAGACTGTAGCAGTAAAACCAAGATAGAGCAGAATGATTAAGAGGCATTAAAAATAGATTAATAAGTCTGGAGAAAATGGGCAGAAATGAATTACATGAGATAGAAAGGCATTATTGAAGGAAGTGTTTCCAAGGCTGACCCGTGGAAGATGGAATCGTAAGGAATAAGGTCCTGGCTCATGAAAATTAATTGTCACGTCACAAGGATAATTTTCAAGAAAGTGTGTTTAAATGGCTCAGAATACACTTTTGCTGCATAATTTACCATTCTGAGCAGTTCATCAATGCTTTTTTGTAAAGAACCAGTTATATGTCATTTAGCCTAAACGAAGATACAAAATTCCAGAAGAGAATAAGTATATGGGTTTTATCTTTATAGATTGTTTTTTAAAAAGAAAACCCTTCAGTTTAGAGAAAATCATACTTCTTTTATTATAAAAGCACTTTATTCACAACTGTGTTCTGAAAGATGTATTTCAGGGGGATATTTTTTAAGAAAGATACTCATAATCCAGGATGCAATTCCAATAAATTTTCAATAAATGTGCTTGGTAAATATGAGCATTGTATGTACAACAGCACTGAAAAAGGTGACTTATGACCTTTTTTCACACATACGATCTTTGTAGCATCCCCATATTCATGGGATCAAAATTCAGATGCTTAGCATGACCTTATGACCATTGCTGTGTCCAAAGGACATGTAACCTTTTGCAACCTTTTGACAAACATCAATGAGGAAGCCAGATTCACTTAACAACCATGTTACTAATTTATCAACTGTGGTGATTCACATAACAGCCATGTCAAGAAAGGTTGTAAAATGAGGCAATATTCACTTTACAAATGTTTCATTTAACAACAGAAAATTTTGGGCTCAATTATGGTCATAGGTTGAGGACTATTTGTACTTTTCTGGAAGATCCTGAAGATGTGGTTTTCTCAGCAGGTTGATATGGAGCTTGGATTGTATTAATTGTGTTTACTTCTACTACAGGATGGGAGGAGGAGGCACTAGGAATTTTTGTTCAGATTTTTAATCTGATGATTATCTAACCTACTAATACACTCATTTCACTACTAAGTATGTACAAGGCAAGGGAGGAAAAGTGCACTCAACATTTGACCACACTTTTTGTATCTTTTTTTAGATTGGAGGAAAATGTAATTGCAAAAGACATGTGTCTGGTAGACAATGCAATCAATGCCAGGAAGGATTCTACAATCTGCAAGAGTTCAACCCTGATGGCTGCAGCCCCTGCAGCTGTAATGCCTCTGGGACAGTTGATGGAGATACTACCTGTCACCAAAATTCAGGCCAGTGCAAATGCAAAGAAAATGTTATTGGTAAGTGCCAGGCAAGAGTCTACATCCAGACGTCTTTGCTTTTTCAAGACATCAAATGCTTGATGCCAGAATAATTGAAACCCAGATCAGACATGCAGATTTCATGAGAATTTATACAAATCTGATTTAGCAGCATATAATTACTGAGTACTACAAAATTACAGTTTAAACAAAGTATAATCTGCTCTTCAGATTTTTCTGTAGTTACCAGAATTTGTAGATATTCCAACAATACCCATTTCTAAGTAGTAAAATATAACGTATTATTTGCTTAAGATTTATTTTGGACAGCAGCATGCTTTTCATAGTGAAGCTAATCTAATGCACTTTTAGATAAGTGTCTATATCAGCTTCCAAAGGGTAAATGGATCTTTCCTCAAAATATTTTGTACTATAGGCTTCC